GTATTATACATGGGTTATTGATAGATTTTTAATGCTTTTAAGCTAAAAAAAAAAGATGATCGTATTATACTTGAGATCGTATTATGCATGAATAAATTTGGCGTTTTAAAAACTACAATAAGTCATTTAGCCAGGGTAACACTGATTGACTGGTGCTAGCTCATGCTAACACTAATGCTAGCTACTGCTAGTGACTGATGCTTTCTGCTGCATCAATGCTAGCTGTTGCTAACATGTGATAGCCATTGCTACCAGAGACTGACGCTTTCTACTGCTTAATTAATGCTAGCTGCTGCTGAGAATTTTGATGTTAAAATATCAGTGGCCGGCTGACAAAAAAGCAAATTAAACAGCAAAAGGTTTAAAATGTATTCAACCAAAATTTWTGAAAAGATTAGCAAGTTAGATAAGTTGCTTAGTTATTTAGCTGTACAAAAATCTTTCACCAGCGTTAAATTTGAAGAAAAGCAACCAGTCGAGCAATCAGGTCTTTGCAAAATCATTATTGGATAAATAAAATAACTTTTTTACATAAGAAAAATATGATTAGCTGTTTAGCAGTGCCTTTATGACGTACAGAGTCAACCCTGTCTGTAATTTTATGTTGGAAGCAAAGGTTGTGTGTAAAATAGTAACGGCTTTAAATTCTTCCTCTGATCTAATAGTTTTAAGAATTGTTAAAGCTGTAAGAACACTGCCCTTCTAGGTAAGAACACCCTGGGTGTACAGGCAGAACTGCCCCACTTTACAGGTGTGGATTAATGATCGTCTTTGTCCTTTTTTGTCTGACGTTTTACTTGTTTGTTTGTGTCCCGTTGGTTGAGTAAGTCCAGTAGATTACTCAACAACACATTTGACCCATTTTCCTCACTCCTGTAACTGACTTACTCACCTCGCAGATGAAAAATCCCATAGGCTTGGTGATGTCTTGTGTGGGGCTGGTGGGTAAAAATAATCTGGAGTTCAAACGTTCAGATGACTCTTCTGTAATCTGCTCTGATTGACTTGTTAGGATTTTGGTTGAGGATGAATGAAAAATAAGAGGTTTTGGAAAAAAACAGAACAACTTTTATGTGTCAGTCAGAAGAAATCATTGAAGTGATGTTAACTAATCTGTACTTTTCATTCTCTTTAGATAATCCAGAATATAACCCATCCATCCATCATCCATCAAAAACCAGGCAGTTCACAGGACAGAAGTGAGAAAGGTTCAAGTTTCTAAAGATGGAGCAGGACACTCAACAAATCTGGCAAATGCAAACCTCCCCACCAGGAGAGGTGCAGAAGAAGATCTCCGTGGCGGGCCAGCCGGAGTGCTCCATCTGCTACAACACCTACGACAACGTCTTCAAAACGCCCAAGTTGCTGGAGTGCACTCACACCTTCTGTCTGGAGTGCCTCTCCCGCCTCATGGCGGTCTCCTTATCCGACCAGGATGACATTGGTGGCAGCGCACGGCTTTCGTGCCCCTTCTGCCGTCACCCCACCATGTTGCCCGAGGAGGGACCTCCGGCCTTGGCCACCAGCCGCGAGGTCCTCTGCAAGCTTCCCAGCCACCAGCAGAAGGAGGAGCCGGTGTGGCTGGAGGGTGAGAAGCTGTGCTACAAGAGCTCCAGGCAGGACGCCATGTCGGGCGCCCCCAACAGCCCCGTGGCCTTCTGCGTCTGCATCGACATTGGGGCCAGTAAGTCGGCGGACGCTCCCGTCCAGACAAGGCCCCGGACTCCGGGCCTGCTGGGCAGACTGGCGGACTGGAAGAGGTTGATCCTCTTCTTTATACTCATGGTGCTGCTGGTCATAGTTGTGTTGTGGCCCCTGCAGTGTGTATTCAGCACTGGAAACCTGCGCTGCACAAAGGGCCAACAGCAAACCACCACCACAACTAGTCCCACTACTTATACTCCCTTCATCAGCAGGGCTGGCCTGAAAGGATAGAACAGCTCAACTACGAGGACAATGTGCATAAAGATGCTTTTTTAAAAACTTTTTTTTTTTTTTTTTTACTATTTCTGGTTGATGAATCTCTTCGGATAATGTCCTGATGCATCTCAGTAATCCAGGTAGAAAAAAATCAAAAAGAAAAAATAAGTAGGTCTTCTGGACGGGTTCTTCTTTAGTGAAACGTTTCGTCTCTCCTCCAGGAGACTTCTTCAGTCTGATGAGTTTCAGGTGAACTCAGCCTTATAAGCACTGCCTCCACATGGTGGACAAACAGGTTAGTCACATGCAAAAGAGGGCCATCGCCTAACAATGGGCTTGATTAGCTCTATAGGGGGTCATGTGGCCCATCACCTGACTTACTGGTTTGGATACTTCGGCTGTGGTTCTTTGGTGTCGTGTTATGTGTATAATCAAGCTTATTGTTAGGCGATGGCCCTCATTTGCATGTGACTAACCTGTTTGTCCACCATGTGGAGGCAGTRCTTATAAGGCTAAGTTCACGTGAATCTCATCAGATTGAAGAAGTCTCTTGGAGGAGAGACGAAACGTTTCACTAAAGAAGAACCAGAGGACCTACTTATTTTTTCTTTTTGACTCTTTGGATAAGTGCATTTCCCCACCCAAACAACCATAATGTCACACAGATGATCTTATATTTAAAAAGTGGGGTATTACGGAAAAAATCAACTTTTTGGAACTTTATGTCATGTTATATCATTCCCTCATCAAGAACATGCCTAGAGTGTTGCTTTGACTCTTTCATGCATGTTTGAGAAACCACTGAATCTTCTGTTGTAGCCACGTGGAACTGATCAAACACTTGCTGGTACAAAGCTCCGCCTATTTCCACAAAGCTCCTCCCTGAAGCTCAGTCTCAGTAGGACGTTCTTAAAAAGACAGAGGCCAATTTAGATGGGCTATGATGCGAAGCCAAATTTATTTTTGACATATTCAGAGTTTTCATAACTGAAACTAACAGTTACTTGATTGTGGTTTAGAATTGAAGTATTTGTCTGGAAAATACATTTCAGYCCCCCTTTAAAAAAGCATACATTAGCAGTTCTAAATGACCACAACTTTAAACCCAACAAAAAATAAAGTTAAAGACATCAAAAAGCATCGATTGATGTTTTACACTTCAATCCAAACAGATCAGATGATTAACAGGTTTGACGACCTGAGCTGAAAGTTAAACGTCTACTAAACATTCAGCCATGATGCGTAAAGTCGCCGTTGTGTCCAAAGCAAACAGACGAGCTTTGTAGCATTTACTGTGACTGAAATGTGAACTTTTTTTTAAATTATTCCATCACCTTCAGTTGGCTGCAAGAGAGGATGTTCAACTGGAAACATTACGTACTGTACATTTGATTGCATGTTTTTTATGCCTTTGTTTACAAGTGTGACTGAAAGTAAAGTATTAACACAAATCATGTCAAAACATTAACAAAGACCATGAAGTTCTTTTTTAAATATAAACCAAAGGTTTAACGAGAAGCTGTAAAAAGATTCTGACTTCTGTTCATTTTCTCCCTACACAAATTTTAACCTTACTTTCCCTTTTCCGGGGCAGGAAGTTGTATTTATTTATTTATTACTGGGCTTCACACAGAGGAAAAGTTCAACCGTGGGATTTCCAAATTTGCTCAACTAATACACGATAAGATTTCCTTTAAATTTGGGCTTTTATGTCGAAGCGGCCATAAATGCATAACTTCCTTAAAGGCTTTCGCACTGCCAGGAAACCCGGTTAAACATTAAACCCAGACGAAAGCAAACACGGCTCCGAAATGGCTTCTTAACAAGACATTCATCTACTTTTTCCTGCTCTACTTCTTTCAACTGAATTTTTAATTGGGAAGCCTGATTATTTGTCTGCAACTGCAGAATAACAGAATAAACTTTTATTTTGAGTGGCAGCCAAATTCAATAAAAACAGAATGCCCTGGTAATAATAATAATAATAATAATAATAATAATAATAATAATAATAATAATAATAATAATAATAATAATAATAATAATAATAATAATAATAATAATAATAATAATAATAATAATAATAATAATAATAATAATAATAATAATAATAATAATAATAATAATAATAATAATAATAATAAAGTTTTACTTAAAAATCTATTTTCTTGTTTGATTTTTGAACTCATGATGTAAAATATGTTGAAGCTAATTAAAAAAAAGCAGTTAGCACAAGCTCAACCGGTTTTCTGAAACTTGTTTTTCTYGCTTTTCAGATCTGATTTTAAACGAGCGCTTCATCCTGTCAGTTTGCAATTTCTTCACAAGAGCAATTTTCTGCCCATTTAAAATATAAAAAGTAAAAAATCAAAAAGTTTATAACCGTGCTTCTCTGTGAGGTTCCTTGTTGGATTTCTAAGCAGTTAAAAAAAAAAAAAAAAAAACTACAACTTAATTACACGAAACACCAAATGGTTAACTTTTCTGTGCCATCACAAATTTTTATTAATCTTTTTGAGGACCATTTCTGGCAGCTCATTGCATCAGTAGACGTTTTTAAAAAAAGGCGTCTGGGTGGAACCAGTGCAAGAAGAAGAAGAAAAAGAAGAAGAAGAAGAAGAAGAAGCAGAAGCAGAAGAAGAAGAAACTGGACAACAATGGAGCACTTTGAATATCACTGACTTCAGGCTTACTGCAACCAGCTGGGAGAGGGAATAAAAATCACTTCAACATGTTCAAGTAAAAGTAGGAGAACCAGCAGAAATACATGTCACCACTGAATACTTCAGTAGATACAGGATTTACTCATCAATACCCATCAACAGTAAAAGTACAGGAAGGAATAAATCAATTTAAAGGACATGAAATGAAAGAAAAATACCAAYAACGTAAAAAACTATTTCCACAGCTAAAGGACATCCACGCAGCCTGAGGCGACATTTTCTGCAGTTTCACACAATGTCTATAAACTTAGGGCTTCAACAGTTAAAGTACCAACAAGATTTGGCAAGACATGCAATTCCATTTTGGATCTTATTTTCACAAATCCATCCTCCATATATGGCATATCTGGAGTTATAAATACTTCAATCTCGGATCATTCACTTATTTATGTCATTAGAAAAAACCTTAAGAAACCTACAGG